TAATGATTTTACTAAATTTATATACAACAAACTTAATAACAATTACAGAAAACTAGAAGTAAATTTTAACTTTATTTTGTCTACTATAAAAGGTACTATATAATGTTGTATCAACTATTAATTTAATATTTTAATATAAATTTATCTAAGATAGGTACATAAACTAATGTAATTTTTTAATTAAAATCGTACAAAAAATGTTGTGACATTCTTTTCTTTTAGTAGTGTGAAAATAAGGGCAGAACTTCAGATGTAAGACTACCTATTATATTTTATGTCTAACTTTTGCCACAAATAGTTATACGACTTATATACAATATGGACAAGCAATTAAATTAATTTTTATACATAATGTTGAGAGGGTTTATACTAAACAATAATAATATTTTTAATACATTTAAATCACACAAACTATCCTGCCTCAAGTACACGGATGTTGGTTTCACGGATTAATGAAAACTAGAGGAAGCTCAAAGTGGGCGAGGGACATGTCACATGCCCGACTGTCAGGTGCATTGGTGTAAGCTTATATTTTCACGAGCTTGACGTGTTGCTATATAATAGATATACTATGCGTAAATATGCCGTATTTACAATATCTGAATGCAAAAATGAATATATAATGTACAGTTATACTCGTAGTACATAAATGCAATTTAGAAAATAAATTTTTATATTTAAACTACAATGAATAATTAAATTTCTTCGTCAAGCATGGAAATTTTCTAGGATAAAAGAAATATGATTTCTATTTATAATAAGTTATGGTTAGTACTCAAGCTGATACTATTTCTTAATAGCTAATCACACGAAAATTATTGAAATATTCTACGAACTTCGGTACACATTTTGTCGCTAATGTTTGGCAACGCTGGTTCTAGTACAAATTACACGCTTTGCCACTTCCTCTCCTTCTTAATATTCCGTGAGTCTTTTTCTCTAATCGTAAAACATAGTTGGGTGTTTAGAATTTTTTTTAATTTGTCGTTATGTTAACACACAAAAGCTTATATTTAAATAGTATTCAAAATTTATGATATATTTCGGCAAATACCTATGTGTGAGATACACGTCACTGTTAAAAAATACTGACACCAGTCAACAAAAATACATTACTGTACATACATTACATTTCCTGCAATATACATTATGACGTTTCATTTCAAAATATTGATAAAACCATTTACCACGCAGGATAAAGTTTTACGTTCGAAAAATCATATTTCTTCCCACCCACCACAGAATTGAAAAACAATTTATTTACTTGAAAAATAATATGTGGCAAGTTTTAAAATTATACAATAGCTACAAAAATATGAATTAAAAAGAAAAGATGTAAATTTGAAAAACCTCTATTACAATAAAGGTTTAAGTAAATAAATTATATAATAGCAGCAATTGGGAAGATAATACAGAAACAAAACTATTTTTATTTTACGGCTCAAGTGCTCACCTATAGCAAAACAACATTTTATATGGTTTGAAAAAACTTTTTACAAGCCATATAAAAGTTTAATATTGTTTGTGATCTCGCTACGGATGGATGTTTTGCTCTGTAGCGAATCCTCAATCGCAACATGAACAATGAAACTATGCACTTTCTGGAATATTAAAATAATAGATGGACAGCAGCATCATCCCGGTAACAATTCAAAAAATATGTCAAAAAACTGCCAACCTGTCTGCCAAGCGTGGCAACTATGGCAAAATTCCCCTATGCGCCAATCTATAGGGGAAGCCTATGTTCGGATATTTAGGATATTTAGAGACTGTAATGAATGGGTGGAAATGAACCGAGCATGCGGAATCCTAAATATTTCAATCATAAAGATAAAAAGAAAGTGGCAGATTCCTGGAGTCGTCTTGCCGAATTAATGCAAAAGTCAGTAAAAGAATAAAAAGCTAAAAATGAAATAATGATGACGACTTTCAGCAAACATTTAAATTAACCAAACGCGATAGCCGAAACAAGTTCGATGTCCGCCATACTTGTCTGTTTGGAGCACACTGACGTATTCACCAGCATGAAAATGACTCCCCAAGTACGAGCCTAGCATTTGTATAACCTTAGAGCTTGTGGACGCTTACCGAGACTTGGCAAACGTGTAAACTTAGCATAAACAACAAACGTTTGAACCGTCAACAAACTTGATGCAGATCTGTGAATACCTTAGATTGGTGAAGTACAAAATTACTATCTAGGTAGATTGTAATTTCCATACCGGAAACACAATAGTCTAACCATAAGTGACGGAAAGTATGGAATGAATTCACAGCTTTATCATTTTATGAACTTGTATATATTCATGAATAATACACGGCATCATCAGCATATCTTTTTCAATAAATTACTAATTACTTTTTCTTGCATTTAGTCGAATGGCTTTAACATCAATACAAAATGTAAAAACATTTACCACAAGAACAGTATGTACCAAGTATTTTATAAAAATGCTAGTAAACTACGCAGTAAATACTAAAAACAATTTGTTATAAAATAAAGTTGTTGTAATAGATAAAAAAAAAACCATTACAATATTTAGGCTGAAAACAGCATTTGCATTTCTATTATCAATAAAGAACTGTTCATCTTTTTTAAACTACAAACTCATTTCAGTACTTGAAACTAATATTTCCTATGCAGTGCAAATACTAATTCGAAAACTTTAAGGCCGTCTCCATCATGTCTTCAACGCAACAACTCGGCGTCAACTATATATTACCAACACATGGAAATCATATCAAAAGGGCGGAGTGAACACGTAGGAGATCTTGACGGGGGCCAAACTGGCAATTTTGGGTACTATGAGCGCAAGAACAATGCGCGCTTCAATCGTCTCGCTCTACTTTCATTTAAATGTTAAAATAAATACCTATACATTACACGATACAAAGCTCACATTTCAAGGGCTTACATCAAATTGAGTGGGTAGTAAGACAGCGACGGCAGTTCAGTGTTTGAAATAAATCTGAGGGACAAACGGAAGTTTCGTAAAGGTTTTCCATTTTCTAATTTGTTAACAAAATAATGCATCCTTTAAAACCTGGAAAGAACATCATTGTGAAAATGAAGTAAAAAGAAGAACTTAATTTTAATAAAACTATGACAACGAAATGAAGTAAGTAGTAAAAGAAAATTTAAATAATAACATTAATTTCTAAAGCTACTATCACTAATGCCATACGGTTTTTGTAGAATAAAATACTGTGATATATGATATAAATATTAAAACTGGCTACCTTATTATAGATTCTACATCCGAGATACTTATTTTAATATTAACTATTACATATAAAAAAATCAAAGAATGATCGAAGGAAATCTAACTAAAACTGTCATTAAATATAAATTATTTTTTTTAGAAATTAAAATTGCTACAAAAAAATAAGAACATGTAGTTATTACTTCCAATGTCTCTTTCTATTTATTACACATACCAGTGTTACAATAAAATATATACAGAACTTGTTACATACAGAACAGATAATTTGACGTAACATCTAATAGTTTATAAATGTGAGTTAAAAGAAATAAAATAAATTTATATTGACTTGAAAAATTTAAACAAAATATATACAGATTTTAAATCCAATTAGAAGTACATTAATTAAAATGCCTTAAATTTAGTATCTTAAATTATTCATAGAATGTTTTTTATTCTTAGATTTTAAAAAACGCACCAAACATTACTATTATTTTCGTCTTGTTTTTTATTTTACAACAACGAGTGACACTGACAATTTAGAACAACAATGAATTTTACTGGTGAAAATTAGCTAAAATTATAATTAGCTAGACTTGTCACAAGCATTTATCTATTGATAAATTATCTTATCACTTTGCTCAATGGTAGGTACCAAAGGCAGAGGTAATGGAGAGGATAAACGCTCGCATGAAAATTCCATAATACCTACACAGACAGAGTTCAGTCCCTGGCAGAACCACGGAGATGGTAAATTGCAAGCTCAAATGCTGTTTTACCATTGTATTGGCGGTGAAGGATAACATCGTGAGAAAGTCTGAAGGAAAACATAGTAATTAATATTTTAAAGAGATATGACTTAAACAGTGGTAGAGCCACGTGGCAGCTTTTGCTTTTGCTGTCGCACGAATGGGCCGGCTCGAACCGGGGTAGTACCACGAAATCACAGAAAACCAGCGTGAAGTAGAGGTTTACCTCTGCGTTTCGCTTGGTGGGTGCAGGTGGCCGGAGGCCCTTTTTACTGGAAATGAGGCAATCCATCTTAGTCCTCACGGGTGATAACGCATCTACATTTTGATTTGTAACAGAGGATAGATGTAGATGTCTATGGGCCGCAGCAACCACTTACCATCAGGTGGACTGTGTGCTTGTTTGTCACCCTTATCCTATAAAAAAAAATATGATATCCGCCTACGTGCCTTAAAGCAACGCGGCGGAGTTTTCTTTGCCCTTGAACTGCTCAGAAATTAGAGATAGCCTTTGCCCAGAAATTGTGCCGATTATATTACTTCTTAATTTTTAGCAAAGACAAATGAGCATCAAAATTATGGTCGATCTGGTAAAAAGAATAACTTATATAACTTATACATAACATGAAATATGATACGAAATTGAATTTATATCTAAGTATTAATTTAACCTCAAATTTAACTACATACCTTTGTGCCATTATACATGCACTTACAATTTTAGACAGTATTGTGTTATCATCACATTTAAATTTAATAAACGTCATCACAAAATTAGTTTGGAAACACAGAAATGAAATATGTTCCAATGAAGAATATATATGATATATTATATACAAATAAGAGTGACAGACACTTAATACTGGTATAAATTTTACATTAAAATATTGTTATAAATTTTAATTTTTTAGTTTACTGAAAACCCCTAATAAAAACAATATTCATCATTCCCATTGCACAATAATGTCTCCAGGTATGACCTGTATCATTCTAAAGCCAACTGAATTATAGAATTACGCTTCTAATAGACAGTGGCGATCAAAAGCCGCTATTTGGTAAAAGCAGCGAAGACCGCCCACATTATCTCACAGGCGTCGGGCCTCATGGACTCGGCTTCAAAGTCAAGGTCGAGCAGGGCGCGTACGCGTCGTGTGGCAAGCTCATAATCCTCGTCCGAAAGAGGTGCGAACGCATTTTCAAGCACATCGGCTGAGTGAGCAAGCATTAGCAATGCCAACGAGCGCTTATCAGCATGAGCAACATCTGTTATGGAGCGACGCAGTGCTGCTTCTTGGACCTGCAAAACAGACCAATAATAGTCAATATTTAAGCACTGTCCAAAAAGTTCGTATCCTCCTAAAAATAATTTGAAAAGATCTTTGCTTTGTATTATTTTTATTATTTTCCAGTAAAAAAAAATGTTAATCATTTGCTTTTATATTTATTTACAGACTAGCTGTTCCCCGCGACTTCGTCCGCGTGTAATTTAGGGTTTTAATTATGTTGCGCGGAACCCTAATTCTTTTTCTAAAATATAAGTAGCCTAAGTTACTCCTTATAATATCAGCTATCTGACAGTGAAAGTCCCGTCGAAATCGGTCCAGCCATTTCGGAGATTAACCGGAACAAATAAACAGACAGACATACAAAATTTTTAAAAATTGTGTTTTTGTTATAAGTACCGTACATACTTTCACATGCATTTAGTAAAAAGCTGTTATTGTGACATTACAAACAGACACGTCAATTTTATTTATTTGTATAGATAAATGCTCTCAAGAGTTTAATTTATATAAAACAACCTACAACCTGATGGGAGACTTAATATTACAAGTTTTTACATATAACCACCGATCCGCCCCGGCTTCGCACGGGTGATTTCTGGATCTCGACAACAACGCCACCTACAGTGTACAAATGTGAATCTAAACCACCTAGGGACCAAAAAAATTCATCAAAATCGGTCAAGCCGTTTTTGAGTTTTAGCGAGACCAACAGACACCAATTAATTGTTATACATACATGGAGACAAGTTATTTCTATGTGTGAGTTAATAAAACAAAAACAGATTAAGCATTATGCTGCATTACACAGTCTAAAACTTTATATAATTAGCGATATCAAGTTAGCAGTGAAAATACATTAGAAAGCAATGAATTTGCATGGGAATTAGTTGCTAATTAATTGCTGATTATAACTGATTTTGTACAAACCGGTTCTGTAAACTACAAGTCACTACTAGTTTGATATAAAGATAGAAAAATAATGAATTCAATGATAATTGTGTTGAAAAAAGTATATAAAGAAAAATAAGAAAATTCAAAAATTGGCCAGTCTGGCAACCGGTAACTAGTTAGCTACCGGTTACCAGACTGGTACCACCAGTACCAGTATAATATCAGTAGTAGTGACCAGTATCCATGGTACTGTAATATGCTCCAGTCACTGTACTGCTGAGCTTAGGTGCCTATTCCTTGCTCACGGCGCGGGAACAGGTGCCGTCAGTTTTAACAAAGGAAAATATTGGGATAGTACTAGTTCAGGCATTAAGTCCACCATATGAACATATTTATTAGATATAGATATGTATAGATATTACATACATATAACATAAACCTTGATATGACACACAGGAAATGGGCTATGAAAAACATGATCACTGGTGTAAGTTGATTGCTTATCAAATTTGAATTATTTCTGTAATGGCCATTATGGAAATAATTGTAACTTGTGACGGCTATCTAATAAATTACTTACAAGTTGTAATAAGCATAATTGTGGATAATATTAACTGCAAATGCCGTGATATGCTCTTTACCTGACGAAATAAATGCCTATGAAGACTATTCAAGTAATGTCTAATATGCGGGGCCTATCATCTCTCAGATTACTGTGCTCTGCACTATTTATGACGCTTGTACAACAAACTCGTGCCTGAACACTTGCTTCAATTTGGATCCAGGGTATTCAAATCCCAGACATAGCCAACATTTGTGCAAAATATAAAATGTTGGCTGTCGGATCTTTTTTAATCTGAATGAACTTTTAGGTCTCTGTTCACATTCCAGATTCAGAGGAGTTACAGAGAAAAGATTATAAGTTATGATGCCGGCTAGGCTTCATATTGCTAAATCGATGGCAAAGGCGATATAGTGTTAAAAATGTTTTATTTCAATACTTTTTAGATGTCTCAAATAGAAGAGAAAGCCATACAAGAAATATGTTTTTTTACTGTTACCATTTACGCAAAACATTGTCATAAAATATTTAGCATTTGAAATATAAACAAATCCATTTCCGAAGTAGCTATAAAGAAGATTCTGCAACGTTATTTGTCTGAAGAATTAGTTTAGTTTTATTAACAATGATCTTTCTTTCGACGGTAAACTAAAAATGATAGAAGTTTTCCGTCGGCCAAAAATAAAAGATGTGCATGATGCAGGCATGTGAGTTTTCTCCAATTGACAGGTACCAACCAGAAAACAATATGCAAACTGCAATAAAATTTCATTCCAGAAATTTATTTTGTTATAGTATGCATTCAGGATAAAATTGATTTTAGTTTAGAAAGAAGCTTTTAAACATCTGTAGAGTTGGTCAACTCTACAGAAGTTGACATAGAATTATATGGAAAATGGACTTGAATATGTGCGAGATTATGTGTACTTGGGGTCAAGTAATTGCCCCTAGTTAAAGAAATAAACAAAAAAATTGCTAGTGGCTGGAAAAAATACTGGTCTCTGAAAGAAATAATGAAAAGCAAAGAGCTAAACATCTCTATTAAAAAAACATTTAACACCTGTATTCTCCCCTACATCACATATGGTTGTGAGACGTAGTCCCTGAACCAAACTCATCGGGAGAAACTTGCAAAATGCCAAAGACAATATAACAATACAGCAAGCAGGTAACCCTATGGTACCCAAGAGATGGCGTCAGAAAACAGGGTCACCCAACCAGAAGATGATATCCACCATACTGGACAAGGGTAGCAGCAGACAGAGTCCAATTGAATCAGTTGGAGGAAGCCTATGCGAAAAGGCACAGTGAACTGACTTACTAGAACTAGTATGAACTCAAGTAGTATTATGTACAACCCCAAAGTTCAGAAATAAATGGCTAAATTATTATTATTACTACACATTGTACTTACTTAGAACTTAGAGCACAAGGCTAAGTGCAATCAGCAAGCAAAGGATTTTTTATAATATAACTATCAACTCCTGGAGGTAAAAGAACATACCTTTTTAACTAAGCGACATTTCACAACATTATCTGTCAGAGGATGTGTTGTCATATCAAATAGTAGAAAATTTTGTTTTTCAGTAGTAAGAACTCCTTTTTCAACAAGATTCTTTGCAAGCCTCTCTCTCACATTCTTAAGTTGATATTTGAGCTTCATTGGATTCCAAGTCTCACCTGGATAAAATAATGTATTTTAATTATATTTTAGTAGAAAAGTAACAATTGTATGTAATTAACTGTAACATAATAAAAGTAAAACACACCACTCAGATACTCTATCCAGCTTTGAACTGTCTCTGGTGGGTCTGTCTCTTTCATATGTTTAAGTGCTTCATCTAATAAGACATCTCCAGTGGGTGAATCTGAAACATTCTCATCAATATTAGTCTCATTTCATTTTTATTCATTCATTACAGCCTATCCAAATTTAGCTGCTGGACATATGCCTTCCTTGTAGGGATATTTGCCAAAGAAGACACTTCTGCCCATCTCCTGTTTTAGTTGTCCTGTAGCACCTCTGATAACAACCAGAACAATATGGGATAGTACACCCTCTTATATCACCACTACACAGTAGACTAGTATCATATTAAATTAAAAATGTAAATACTAATAATGGAGTTACCATTTTATGATAAATCAACTCTTAAAACGAATAATTCATACAGGTATAATAGCATACCAATTTTACATTTGTTCATCCCTAACACACTACAGGTTTAGTTTATCGAACTTCAATTTTGAGCGGTTTATTAATTCCAAAACCGCCACAAGGAAACTAGGTGTCCTGGCAGAGGTGTGGCAGAACTCCACACCGGAACGGATTCTTACTACCTAATAAGTGGATATCGGGGTGTGTATGTAGGTAGTACTGCTGTCACATGTGAACTGGTGCCACAGAATGCAAACTAACAGCTCATTGAAAGAAAATGGTTTGCTTAGTCTTTCATAATGCATACAACAAAGAAATAAAATAATTTACTGGGGTCTGTATTTCCATCATATTACAATCAAAGTGTCTTCAAGGCAAAAGTGCATAGGCTTTGTTACACAAGACTCCATTTTACCATCTAGGTCTTTATCACCACTTACCAAGGTGAGATTGTAATCAAGCACTAGCATATAATAAGAACTCTTAAACTAATGAACTTTTTTCTTTGGTATAAAAAATCTTTTCTTACTTTTTCATTTTGATTAAAAAAATATTAACCCAATGCAGATTTTTCCACTATTTTGAAGATATATAGGTACATAAATTGCACAAGGACAATAACTCAAGACACTGAACAGTTTTTTTTAATAATAATTTACAATGTTGTACAATTAAATATTTTAAACACAGCATGGTAGTGATAACCTCATTCCCAGGCATTTTTATCAATCACCCTATTTATAAAGTTTTATTAATAGAAATTTTAAGCTTTTTGATAAATAGGCCCTATTTCTAGAACTTACAGACATAAAGGAATTACTGATTCATCAAAGTTGAGTAACTAGTATCATTAGCTTGTGCTTGTTCCTAGTATTTACAGAATGTCCTTTACATTACTATTTATTAATAAAACTATCTTTGTTTATGTTCATATATTTAATTTCCGTAAATACATATACTAGGAGGCCAAAGTTAAAAATATACTTTTAATAAGCATAGACCTTTATATATAAAAACTACGTGTCACATTGTTTGTCCACAATGAACTACTAAAATACAGAACTGATTTCAATGAAATTTCACACATTGTGTGCAGTTAGGTCCAACTTGAGAGATAGGATACTTTTTATCCCGATAAGTGACCTTCAATATTTTTTGTGAATTTAAGGATTTTTTATAGGAAGGGATGTCGAAAAGGGTAAAACAACGTCTGCCTAGTCAGCTAGTATACTATAATTATTCTTTTTATATAGCTTTAGTAGCCTATAGACACCTTAATTCTACTTATTATAGTATGTATAATATAGAAACAGAAGCTCATCCACTCTTGCCTTAAAGACAGTCATATTGTAATTGGTACCTTTTCAATTAAGAATCAAAATACAAATTAATACTTTGTCAAACTAAGGCCCCCCACATACATACAAAATTCTGAACGGGTCGGCCACACACATACGGAATCCCATTTTGCCAGCAAAATTTCAAACGGAAAACTACCGTATGTATATGACTGGTCATAGATTTTATATGGAATTCCAAAACGGAATCCCAAAATGGATTTCCGTATGTATGTGGCGGGCCTAAGATGGAATGATTTATAATCAGAAAGGGTCCCCAGTTCTCAACAAAATATGTCATTGTGCTGTTATTTAAGCCCATCAATAATCCATCGCTGAACATAGGTCTTCCTATCATAGATTTCCTCTTAAGGAGGATATTTTTATAGTTGCAACTCTTGGCAGGCTGTTTTGCAACTCAGTTTTTTATTATTTTAAGACTCATCACAAAGATATGCTGCCCATCTACTGTTTCATTTCCCTCTGCCGCCTCTTACAAAAGCCACTAGATGATTTGGGGTAGTGCAATCCATGCATACTGTAGTTATTATTACAGTTGTAGTATGGCTCTACCTACAAACCATTTAATCCCCTAGCTCTACGACATACAATATTAACTAACTAACACAGTGTTAAAGACTTGGTATAAATAAAGGAAATTATAACTTTTTTTTAATTATTAATCAATCAAATCTGTCTTTTTAATGGAGTTCAAAAATCAGAGAGGCAGTATATTTGATGAATATGTATTTTTTATATATTCACATTTTTGGTAAGTCTGATTTAAATTATTATTATTTTATTTAATAAGTTATTCTTCAGAGGTGGTTTCATAACAATTTGATGAAAATAACTCTAAAGGGTGTAAAAATAGAGGGCGAAATTTCAATGTAACTATTTAACATTTAAACCACATTCTAGTTGTCACTTAGTCTTAGGAATCAGTATTTACACAACATAATTCGATGTTTCATACATATTTGATAGACAAATTTATAATGAAAAATAATCACCTGATTTTACAATTACTTTTCTAGATAACAATCCTTTTCTTCTCATTCCAGCTCTTTCCAGTTCTATGCGACCTCTTAGTCCAAGTTCAATTAAAATACATCCCCTTAGGCCACTAGATATGCAATCATTCCAAAATGAAGTGTAACCCTAAAAATAACGCAATACTTGATAAAGGAAAGAGCAGTATTTATATTATTAAATGTTAAAATATATATTGAAGATAAATCTTTACTTCTTTGTCTTTCAATCCTAAAAGCAAAACTTCTTCCATTAATGTTAAGCGAGTTTCCTTTGAGTCGCCATCGTCATAATTTTTATCATTTTTCTTATCATCATCATAGTTTTCTTTCAATGTTCCATCGGAATTGCTGTCCTTTAGAACATTTCTTCGTTGTACTAATCCTTCGGAGCGATTCATTGTACCATCTAAAGTATATAACAAACCAAAACTCAAAATATTAGATTTATTCAATGACTTTTTAGGAAAATAATATTTTCAGAAGTGAGTGTATCAGTTGTTGACGTTTTGCCACACGACGTTAGAGGAAAACATGGCCGAACGATATGTATGAAATACGTTCCGTTGTTAACAATGCAATTATACAATAATTTTTAAAAAAAGTTTTTTAATAACTATTCGTATTTTATTATTTATAAAAACATTATAATTTAGTTGTAATCAAAGGAAAAGAAGAAAAGAGTGTTGTGATTATTGAAAATATTATCTCTATACTGTGATGTAAATGCTGTAAAACATCTTGTACACGGTCCATTTTGCTGTACGTCCTGCTAAGGTCACACCACAATGAATAGTATTGATTTACGTCATGCCTATTCATTGTCGTTTTGCATCGTACGTCGTGAATGACCTTGGCGGGACGTACAGCAAGATATACCGTGTAGTATAGGACGTTTTATCTTTAAACAGCTTAAAGAACAAGCATCCAAGCCAAAAATCTTTATCAAAAAGCTTTAACCACATACAAATATGAACACCCTACACCCCCCCAACCTCTGACCAAAGAGAATATACTACATCTACACTACATTTAAAGGTAGCAATACATGTTGGCCGAACTTGTTCGCCGAGTGCGTTCGGCCAACGTGTACTGGGCCGTTTTGTGTGTATTTGGCGTTTGCAGCCGACAAGCCGTATAGTGTCAATTTCCGTGCACAAATCAAAAAAATTTGGCGCATTCGCAAATAGCGATCACACGTTGGCCGAGTGCTCAGTTCATAAATACGCATTGGAGTAGACTGTAGTGGCTTAATAAAATTGTTTCACGAACATGGCGACATGGACTAATGAGGAAATGTTTAGGTTCATTGATTCTTATCACAATGAATCAGTTACATGGAACCCCAAACATGAGCAACATAAAAATAAGGCCGCAACACCCTAACGTCTATCATCATCTAGCTACCAACGCAGAATGAAACACGTCAACGTGTGAACGGCACCACGAAAATCTGCCGAGCAGGCTCGCCAAGAGCGCTCGACCAACGTGTACTGGAGCCTTAAGAGGCGGGACTTGTATAGTAAAAATAAATATATAAAAAGGGCGCTAAGCTATCTCACCAACATCAAGACGTGACATTTAATTTTTGACAAACAATGCTGACAACATAGGTGAATTATAATAACGCTGTAAATATCTTACTTCAAATAATTTTTACAATTTATTGTTTATAGATATTTTAAGAATTATTGGACAAGTTAGATTTCTATACTGAATAATATATGCAAAATAAAAAAAAAATATGAAAGTAATAATTATTACGTGGGGATTAAGTAAAAATGCCCATCAGGATAAGAAATCAATGTATTTACAGAGCAATTTGTTATTATATTTACAATTATTACGTACAACAAATACAAATAAATGAATTACTATGAGTCATTGAAAATAATTTTCTTTCATGGCAAGATAAGAAAAAGTGCGAGAGAGATGGATATTATTTCATCTTGCTCGCACTATAGAAAGAGGTAGTGACGGAAAAATCTTACACTTTTTCTCGCCTAGTCCCCATCCGTCAAATTCGTACCGTGCTGTAAGGTACTTCGTTCCAAATGAAATTCCGGGGAAACTCTCCATAAAAGTAAATATTTTTCTCCAAAGGTTTTAGGGTTAGCTCGGAAATACACCTTTCCGATCTGATTCTTGGGGACTAGGTAGACTCACCCCTTCAGAGATTATTGGGATTTCGTACATTTTGAATTAAAATCCAACAAAAAGCAGGTAAGTGCAGCTTATTTCCGGGAACATGTTATATGAATATTTTTTAATAATTTTAGAACTATCATGGTAAAAATTCAGTTAACTTTATGTTATTCAGTTTCGTGCACTAAACTTTTTTTAAATTTGTGTACCGCTTTTTTGACAATCATTTTTCATAGTCCTTGTAAGTAAAACCTATATCACTAACTAACGCACACAATAACAAATCAAAATTTGTCACGCGCTTTCAGGCTGTCAGGTCGTCTATACACCAGTATATTCTAACCGTTCCGGAATATCGATTCGAGAATCTGTAAATACATTTATACAATTATACCATATAGCATAACTAGGCTCAGTTGAAAGACATTGAGTACAGTAATCATGCCGAATTTTGAATTGAAGAAAATTTTGAACGGAAAACTACAGCACGTGTGTGATAGGTTCTTGACTTTATACAGTGTATGTGGCCGGCCTAAGTCTACGATCAATATATTGAAAGTTAAAAATCTTCCAAAAACTTCGCAATGTGATGTAACGTGTTCTCAATGGCCTTATTGTGAAGAATGTTTTTAAAACAAAATATTTTGATGGTTAAGACCAAACAAAAAAAAACTTCATGACATTGACACATTATAGATGTGCAAGCTCGGAAAAATTACGACTCAAGTTGCGTAACTCGAGTTTAAACTCGAGCAATTCGAGTTGGCAGGCAGTACGAAACAGAGTAAATGATTTATTACAAATTACTTTTTTATAAATTTGTTTTTCTATCTAAATCTTTGATGGGTTTATGCTAACCAATTACCAAACTTGTTATGATGTAGGATTGAAATAAAAAGATATATTTAGTACGTATTACATACTTATACATTTTTGTTTTTAATCTTAGTTATAGTAAATACCTGTATTTAACAACAAAACTAGCTATAAGATGTAGGTACATAAACTATTAATAGTTTAATTATCTCAGTCAAAATATTCTTAAATAAATTCAAAATCAAAGTATTTATTGTAAGTTAAGTGTTACATTTTTTTAAAGAATAAGGGAGACAAACGAGCACACAGTCCACCTGATAGTAAGCGGTTGCTGTGGACCATACACATCTACATCTATGTTTGTTTGCGAACTAAAATGCAGATGCGTTGTCACCCGTGAGGACTAAGATAGTATGCCTCTTTTCCAGTAAAAGGGTTTCCGGTTCTCTACACTCGCCATATGAAACACAGCAGCATTAAGCCGCTAGTTTACGCTGGTATTCTGTGAGAGCGTGGTCCTTCCCCAGTCCAGCCGACCCATTCGTGCTACAACTATACTATTAATATAGCTGCAGCATGGCTTCTACCTAGGGTTGCCAGATGGTCGGGATTCGTCTGGATTCTCCCGACATTTTAAATGATCTCCAGACTCCCGAAAAAATTCGAAATCTCCAGACAAACGGCTGCTGGGAAAGTACTATACAAAATAATAATTTAAAATTGCCACGCGCGGTTACATTCTTCTTCTTCATGTCCCGACAAGATGGCTATCTCTTTTGCCCACTGTAAACCATTTACTGTATTGTTAGTCTGCTGTAAAGCAGTATTTTATGTTGAATGGGGAAGACGAATGTCGAAAAGAGATATTTAACAAAAAGTAAAAGCCATATTGATGATAATAATAGTGATCGGGTTGACGAATGCCAACAAGAAGGGCATTTCAGAAGCGTATTTATACTCTGTACTTTGTAACCTAATGTTGGAGTTCCAAGTAGGAATTTTAATATTGGAAAGTGCTCCATGCACTGTTCTAGAACTTGACAGTGTAATGAAAAAACTAATGAGTCATCTCAAAAACAGGTTGGATGACAAATTCTTAGATAGTAGAAAAGTAACCTTATAAAGGAATATTTCTGAATGTTTCCAATAGTGAGAAAATCCTTTTTTGCATCAAAGCTGAACATTTTTTAAAACGAGCTATTGAATACTTTTCTGAGAACTCTATATAAAAACTCGCTGTATTGTCTTTATAAGGTTCAAATTTATTTACGTGGGAAGAGTTATCCGTATTGCCTGACGTACATAATATTTCAAATGATATAGACTTTGAAACACTTGAACTTCTTTCAAAAAACTAGGACATGTAAAATGACAAATTTTGGGCATTTTTTTAAATTTAACCAAAACGACCTAAAACTTGAAAATTGTATATCATTTGTGTTGCCGATTCCTATAAGCAATGCATACTGTAAATGGGTGTTTGGTTTGCTATATAATTTATATACCAAAGAGAGGAATCTTTAGTAATTGAATTGTACTTATTTCAAGTAAATTGTTTGAATTACTATTGTCTGAATACTACTAAACGACCTAAAGTCCCCCGCAGTAAAGTCCAATGCCAAATACACGTGACAACCTAAAATTTAAGTGTAATTAAATTGGTTATATGTTAACAATGTTAAGCCTTTCTGTAGCCTATTAATTAAAAAAAATATTTAACGTTATTATTTTTCATATTTCTCCCGACTACAACCCCAAAATCCCGACATTTTCAAATTTTGTCCAGATATTTTGGCCTTCCGATCTGGCAACCCTACTTCTACCACGTATAAAATTGGCGTCAATTTAAAATATGATGTATCTTATAACTTAACCACCCTTTTCGGGTATTACAATAATAGGGCTATGACTTACATTACTATATGGATCATAATTAATCAAAATTATAAAAGAAATTAAATTACATAACTTAGCTAATATAAAATTTTAAATAACAAATTGTTTTGGTTGTAGCTAAATCTATTTGAAACACAAAGCGCGCACACAACGAACGAATCGCACTCTTACTCTTTTGCTGGCTCACTTGATCCGTTCATGTACTACAGGCCAGGGCCAAGCTCGAGTTAGGGTAATCCAACTCGAGTTAAGCCACGGAAATATATATATTTCCATGAGTTGAGCGCAACTCGAGTTGACCCAGTGCTAATATATAATGTACTCTGTGCCCATTGCTGACACATAGTCTGTCACTAGGGATGATCGATGTTGTAGAAACATCGATGTTGGCATCGATAGCTCAACATCGGTGTTCGATGTTTATCCTACTCAAAACATCGATGTTGGCCATTATCGATGTTTTTTTTGGACATGTACTTAATAGGTTAGAATTAAATTAATAAAAAAATTTTCACTTTGTTTATGTTTAATAATTAATGAAATAAAAGAAATTTATAAACAATGTAGTGTAAAATAGTAATTAAAAAAAATTGAAGAAGTTAAGAAATATCTACTTCATTTGTTATATAGTCCAATATTCTTGCCGATTGGTTGAAGAAATAGTAATTTTGACAAAGTACCTTTCAATCTGTTTCTCTGTTGATAAAGCGTTGAGCCAGCTATTGACAATAATTTAAAAAACTTAAAATTTTGTACAACTGACTTTAATATAAATATAACTCAAAAACTATTGGTCAGACTTATATGAGTTTTTAAATTTATACGGGACAACATGACGGAGCATCAGCTTTTAAATAAAAAAATTATCATCGAATCGGTTCACCCAGAGAAAAGTTATGAGGTAACACAGATTAAAAAAAGAACATACAGTTTTCTTGACTTTTGACAACACATCAACAACAATCTTTCTACATTCAATTATAAAATATTATTAAAACATGTATCTGTTATATTAAATTAAATATACAAAGTATTATAAAGTGCCAATAAACTGGTTTTTATTATACTTAATAAATTATTTTGAAACAAGAATTATTCAACATTTTAGTGGTCCTTTTTGAAGTCGGTAGATAACCGCTCAGATGTCGTTGACGTAGTGATTGTGGTCAAATATCTCACCGCAAGTTTTTTTTTTTTAATTTTAGGTAGGTAGAACCAATAACATTATTCTAAACGTGCATTGGATCGTGTTTAAGATCAACCATCGGATTTTTAAAAAAATAACCGACAAAGAATCAGACAACCAACAACGACACTAAAAACAAAACGAAATCAGTGACAACTGCGACATTACAGTTTACACTTGCCAGTTAAGTTTGATAGACCATAATGATATATTTTTAGGTTATCGATGCTGAACGCATTCTGAATTATTCAAAATTTTAAATATTTTAGAGGAGATGCAAGATTTAGTTGATATTAATTTCGCGGGTTCGCAAGTACCCAATAATCGATTATGGGTTTATTGACATCGATGTCTCGATGTTTGACATGTGGCAACATCGATGTTATAACATCGATGTTTTCATTTTTAACATCGATAATCATCGAACATCCCTATCTGTTTCTGTCACATTAGATAATATGAAAGCAATAACTTTCTATTTCTTGTGCTGATTTGTTTTTTTTTTGTATATCGTAATTAATATAAAAATTAATAAACCCAAACTTTAAATAAAATGCTTTATTTTAAGTAATATAAAAAAATTTCAGCAACAATTTTGGACTTTGAAGTCTAAAACCATAAGTAATTAGCATGTATCTAATAGATCTTCCAAACGAAATTCTTATAATTATTATTAAAAAGTTAGATCTTAAATCAGTGTATCATTTATATGAAACATGTTCTCACTTGAAGAATATTGTTTGTATGTATAATGTGCTTAAAACCTGTTCCATGACCCTGAATACAATGGCAACAGCCTGTTCTTTCAAACTGAATTTTTTTAAGGATATCTCAGGCCATTTACTAGAGCTTAATGCAAGTGGAGTAGCTGATTTAGATAAAACATCCCTTGTGAGAGCTGTTAAAAGTATGAAGTGTCTAAAGTCTTTGGATGTTTCATTTACAAAAATTACCATTGTTGATCTGATTGAAGCTTATAAAGTTTGCCCAACTATAAAAAACATCTCTTGCAACTTTATGTTTGATAAGGAAAAGAAAAATACTATAAAAATACCTCAAAAATACTTAGTTGAAAGCCAAAACCTGTTCCAAAATTTTGATAACATAAACTTTGTTGGAAATGCTGGAAATTTGCTCTACTCAAATTTAGCTCTGTGGATACTTCAAAAAGCAAAATTAAATAACTTGAGGTTTACAGTTGCTGAAAATGAAAACACAGTATATGAAATAAATGAAGAAATTGAAGAAGATAAATTAATAGGAAATATAAAATGTATGAGTGTTTATGTTCTAAATGATTGGAGAATGAACAACCCAGGAATTGGATCATTTTTATATAGTATGCCAAGTGCATTATCAACATTATGGTTTATGAAGAAATTTGAATTTATTGCTATAATCAAAGGTGATAAAGCACAACATTCAATTTATGTGTCACAAATGTTTAAAAACTTTTTTAGTGAACATTTCCAAATAGATTCAAAATGTGTCAATGATATAAGGATCATACATTACATTGGAAATGCTGTTATTCTGTTATGGAATGTGAGTGAAATGGTTCCCAATAAAGCTTTTTTTTCTAATTTGAAATATAAACTAATGGATTTTTTCCCTTTTTGTAATAAACATAATGATATTTCTACAGTGGATCAATATGATTGGTTTTTCTTTAATTTTGAGCCAGAAAAAAATGAAAGTAGCAATTCCTCTAATTATGTGCCAGAATTCAAAAAGCAAAGGGTTGGTCCACCAAAACAAAGTATTAATTTTGATCATCTATTTAAAAATAAGAAAAAAATAAAACTCACTTGGGTTTTTAACAATTATCTAAGTTGTTCTGTTTTCCTTCCATCACAATGTCAATATTTAAGGAAAATAACCTACTTAAGTTTAAGTGGAAATGTGCATTATAGTGGAGAATTTTTCAATGTGTTATTTAGATGCTGTGAACAGCTGAAGACTTTAAACATAGAAGCTCCCACTTTATCTCCTTGTGCTTCATCTATAGCTCGAAATATTCCCCTTAGTCAATGTATAAAAAATCTTAGATTGGTTGATAAGAGGATTAATTTTAAATTATTATTTTCATCTTTAAGTCAATGTCATATATTAGAAAATATTCATATAATAGATGTTTCTAGTGAGTGTAACGAACTTTGTGATTTCAGTACATTATTTGAAAAATGTAATAATTTATATTGTCTATTTATTTATGCGTCTATGAGTTCAACAGCCAAAACTCAAAAGCTACAGATGTTGAATAAACTAAAAGCTAGATATTGTAAACCTTACTTAAATTTACAATTATGTACAAAGTATGGTGAGAGCAGGTTTAATTATGATCCATATATTGATGTATTTAAATTAAATCCAATAAAGCCTATAGAATTACTTTACTCTTATTTTATCTTTTTATTGATTATAGATTCCCAAAAATATTAACCAAAATTTGAAAAGAGGCAAATAAATTATTTCTATTCCTGTCACCAAGAAGCCTCTTTGCACATCTTTCTATTGAGTCCAAAGCCATAACTTTGTATTTGGGCTACACCAACCTATATATGGCAGCAGAACTCCAAGCACAACCCGACTTGCACTTTTACGTTTTGCACTGCAGTGTCACATACATCCAAATTCTAACATCCAGATAGTCATGACTAATGTTTATGACGAGATCAAATAATGCGAAGAGATCAAGCTATCACATTGAAACTTTCTCATATTTGGAAGTGATAATGATAGCAGATTTTAAGTTAGACAAAGGCCTTTCAAATAGTGAAAACCGATCTAACAATCTTTCTCTTCATACCGTAGTACATTCAACGTCCTTTTTGGATAAATCGTTTTGTAGTGAAAACTTCTCTAGATTCGTTGTGATTTTAAACTCGACGAAACGAAAAAGCGACACTAAATAGAGACAAACATATACATCTATAGGATTTACCTGCGAGAGAATGAGATAGATACAGAGGTTGATACAATGTAATAAGCGACAGTAGTCTAATGGCAGGGTGCGGAGTACGGACAGTGAACTCAAAAGGTCGTGGGTTCGAATCCGCCATTCGACCAATGTCGTGAACCACTCCTATCACAAGCATTTTCAGTTTACCAGTCACTACTGGAATATTGATAATGTTAATAGCATTGCTAGTATTTTTTCATAAATCAGTGTTTCCTATTATCTCGGCCTCCTCTTTGTGCTGTTTTAAAGATGGTTAGTATAAATTTTAAATTTTCTTTTAAAATAAACAATATGAAAAAATTAACAAATTTATTAAATAAATTAAGTTACATACCATATTGAATAAAATTATCATACTATACCAATTCATTCATAGCAATCCACGATTTCATAACTTAAGGCCATCTATCGTCTATTTTACGTACCATCTTGAGAGTCAATAATTTTTATTCATTTAATAAAACTACTTTTACGGATTCTGTCGCGTTTAATTAACTAGTTTTTTATTGATACCCGACGTTTCGGGTACTTGATCGCACCCATGGTCACGGGGGACTGAGGTGGTTGACATCCCGATGTCAGAGTTAACTCGGAGTACCTTCAGCTTCTTTAATTATTAATTTTGGTCGATTTTAGTGGACGTCAATCACCTCAGTCCCCCGTGACCATACCCGTGACCATGGGTGCTGTAAAGTACCCGAAACGTCAGGAACCAATAAAAACAAGTTAATTAAACGCGATAGAATTCGTAAAAGTAGTTTTATTCAATGTGTAGTGTTCGCGTAAATATAAGAAATCATAATTTTTATTCGTTAAAATAACTTTATCTATAGAACTATCTGTGCCCCGCGGTTTCACTCGCGTATATCACGTATCTGAGCCCACAGAGTACCTTTGTATAAACCGAAATCTGAGCCTCGCGACATAACATGACACCCAGTTCAAGCATTTTAGATAGCAATATATGGAAAAATTGGCAAAATTAATAATGTACATAAGCCGATAGATGATTGAACTCACCTCGCTCATCAGAAGCGTTCACTGCTGGTTTCTCTCGGTTCTCATCGACCGTCTAGGGCAGGGGTCGGCAAGCCCTAGTCGGTAAACTAAGGTCGCGGACGCACCTTAGCCCGCGTTGGCGCTCTAATCTGCCCTCATAATATCACGTCGTTTCACTTGAATGAGCCGACTTTCGGCTTTCAGCACAAGTCGCCTTTTATAACGGCACGGCGATATAAAGCGTACAAAGTATAATACAGGCTGATTGGGAGATGGGTGCAAACCTTTCAAGGGCCGCTAGTATAGACAATTTAAGCCATGCTAGTCTTAGATGAAGTCTAAGCATTTTTTTTTATATAAATTTTTATTATTTTTAGCGAAAATGCCCAATTTTTTAATTTACTATTATTTATGGCCAAATTAAACAAAAAAGAAACATATTTTTTATTTTATTCTATTAAAGTCATGTGTAAGCAATTTAATAAGGCATGTTTTAAGCACATGTATTTTAAGATACTTAATTTTTTTACAGACATTTCAAGTTTATGAAAAAAATATAAAATTTATAAACACTGTGTTTAGGTCTCATTTAAAAAAAAAACTATGCTAGGTTTTTTTGTTCAAAACTCTTTAAAAACATGCTTGATTATTGCTCTTTGTTTTGAGGTATCATTCATGCCGATATCATAAAAAATTTTGAAATTAGGAAATGCAAACCAATTTGAGGAAGAAAAAATTTTTCTTTTGATATCTAATTAAAACAAAATTTGAACTGAAATTATCAATTTTTGATGTTTAAAATAACTGCCGTGATTATTGATCACAAGCACAGGCCCGGTTTTTGCTCTACAAATACTTTTTTTGTTCAAAATTGTAGCGTAGAATTTTATTCTAAGAAGGAAGTTGTGGGGATTCTTTAAACAATAGCTGCCCAGGCATACATTCACCTGGCGTTGAAGATGATATTTTGGCAGCGTTTGAAGCGGATCCAACTAGTACTAGAGTAGTAGCTCGAAATTTAAACATTTCCCAATGGAAGGTGTGGCATACAATGCACCAAAACGACAAATATCCTTTCCATGGCAGAGGTGCACAAGGTCTGGAAGTGTAAGATTTCCAAAGAAGGATGCAGTTCTGCCGTTTCCTACTTAAAAGGGATATTGAGGATGCATGGTTTTTAAAATCGATCTTGTGAACAGATGAAAGTATTTTTTTTAGGGAGGGAATCACCAATTTCCATAACCTGCACGAATGCGCGGATAAAAACAACAACCCACATTGGAAAAAACAAGTATTCTTCCAGAGAAAATTTTCGGTAAATATGTGGGCTGGAGTAATAGGCAGAACATTGATCGGGTCCCACATCTTGCCGGACTCTTTAAATGGCGGGAATTATTTGCAATTTTTGGAAATTGATTTACCGTTGCTTGTGGCGCAATCCGGTGCCCCGATATTTGAAACAGATCGAGAGGTCATTTTTCAGCAAGATGGCTGCTCAGAGCATTGGACTTTGCCCGCTCGAGAATTTTTAAATAACAGCTTCCCTCAAAGTTGGACTGGACGAGATGGACCCATCCCTTGGTCCGCACGGTTACCTGATCTGACCCCAATCGACTTTTACGTGTGGGGCCGGGCCAAAGAACACCCACATTGGAAAAAACAAGTATTCTTCCAGAGAAAATTTTCGGTAAATATGTGGGCTGGAGTAATAGGCAGAACATTGATCGGGTCCCACTTCTTGCCGGACTCTTTAAATGGCGGGAATTATTTGCAATTTTTGGAAATTGATTTACCGTTGCTTGTGGAGCAATCCGGTGCCCCGATATTTAAAACAGATCGAGAGGTCATTTTTCAGCAAGATGGCTGCTCAGAGCATTGGACTTTGCCCGTTCGAGAATTTTTAAATAACAGCTTCCCTCAAAGTTGGACTGGACGAGATGGACCCATCCCTTGGTCCGCACGGTTACCTGATCTGACCCCAATCGACTTTTACGTGTGGGGCCGGGCCAAAGAACACCCACATTGGAAAAAACAAGTATTCTTCCAGAGAAAATTTTCGGTAAATATGTGGGCTGGAGTAATAGGCAGAACATTGATCGGGTCCCACTTCTTGCCGGACTCTTTAAATGGCGGGAATTATTTGCAATTTTTGGAAATTGATTTACCGTTGCTTGTGGAGCAATCCGGTGCCCCGATATTTAAAACAGATCGAGAGGTCATTTTTCAGCAAGATGGCTGCTCAGAGCATTGGACTTTGCCCGTTCGAGAATTTTTAAATAACAGCTTCCCTCAAAGTTGGACTGGACGAGATGGACCCATCCCTTGGTCCGCACGGTTACCTGATCTGACCCCAATCGACTTTTACGTGTGGGGCCGGGCCAAAGAACTAGTTTATACGAGCATAGAAATAAATACAAAGGAAGAACTAATAGCTCGAAAAAATTCTGCATTTGAAACCATGAAGGCGGAGATGAAACTTAAAATCACGACCACAGAAGTGAGAAACGGGGCCCGTGCTTGCATTAGAAATAACGGCCGTCAGTTTCAACATGAATAATAAAAGATTTCAAATAAAATTTCGTTTTAATAAGTTTGCCAAAAATTTTAATTTATTCCCTCAAATTGGTTTGTAAGACTTAGATTCAACATTTTTTAAAATATCTGCATGAATAGTACCTCAAAACAAAGAGCGATAATCAAGCATGTTTTCAAAAATGTTTGAACGAAAAAAAACCTAGCCTAGTTTTTTTTTAAATGAGATCTAAAAACTGTATTTATAAATTTTAGAACTTTTTCGTGAACTTCAAATGTTTTTAAAAAAAATTATCTTAAGATACATGTGCTTAAAACATGTCTTATTGGATTGCTTACACATGACTTTAATTGAATAAAATAAAATACATATCTTTTATTGCTTAATTTGGCCATAAATAACAGTTAATTAGAAAATGTTGGGCATTTTCGCTAAAAATCATAAAAACTTATTTAAAAAAAAATGCTTAGACTTTATCTAAGACTAGCATGGCTTAAATGGTTCTAAATTGTCTATACTAGCGGCCCTTGAAGGCTTTGCACCCATCTCACAATCATTCTGTATAACTATTATACCGAGCCTCCCCCCGCCTCGCCCCCATTCGCCCAAGTGAGTCAGTGCGCTGTGGAAGTGGGCAAAGTGTATCATTTTTGCGATTGGAACATTTGCATCTTGATCACTGAAATGTTCCGAAACACTGATATGTTTCATTTGGCTCATTTGGATCATCGACTCAAAAGATATAAAAGAAAGAATTTTCCGAATACATTAAGTTGCGTCACGGGCGTTTATTACTGACTGATCCGTGAAATGTTATGTGGCAACAATGCTGAATAATATAAGTGCTTACATTATTTATTGTGTACCGTAACAAGATTGTATATAAAATCGATTCTCCTTCATACTTTAACAAAAATGTCACTATGTAGGTTCATTATTTACAAAAAT